ACAGCTCTTAGCTTCCCAATAAAGTTAGGAATCCTTAACCTGTAAATAGCTTGTCAATAAAGCTAGGGATCCTTAACCTTGTCAAACCCTGTGTAAACAAAAAAAAAAAAAAAAAAAAAAAAAAGAGAGAGAGAGAGAGAGAGAGAGAGAGAGAGAGAGAGAGAGAGAGACAGACAGACAGACAGACAGACAGACAGACAGAGAGAGAGGGTGGAGGAAAGGATGGGATGGCTAGGGAACGTAAATAGGTAGTGGAAGGGTCAAATCTTAAGGTTTTCCATGAAAACTTTCTTGTCATATTAAAGTAGATAGCCTCGCTGTGAGGAAGGGAAGCTGTCTGTATACGTCTTCTCAACCATAGACTACTTTATGATCAAAGTACTTCAATCTACTCTTTCTATATTGTAAATACGTTTATTTTACCATGAAAAAAAGTTCATCAAACACATCAATGGTGCTCACACTAACTACGCAGAAACGCATTAAGAACACTGGAGACTATATATGGTATCCGATAACAGGAAGCTGGAGTCTTGAATTTCATAAAAATATCTAATTATTGCATGTTTATAGACAATAAATGGATAAGAAAGTCTTGGGAATTGTTATTGTAAGAATGTAAAGAATGTCGCAGTTTAACATTCAGAGGATATGAAGGTAAATGTTAGTTATAATGAGTTTGATGAACTATTTACAGTTTTAGATTCTTTATACTAATAAATCTTGGTGTCTATTTATTTGTGTAAATGCATGTTTTTGTAGACATGAATATCTATTTGTACCTAATGAATGAAATTCAACATGATTAGTAACATAATTATGAGTGAAAAAAATCCAGTTGGAAATAACGACAAAACATAAAGTCGCATTTTGATGCAGGCGCATTTCTGCGTTACTTTGTTTGACACAGAAAATGTCACACCTCATTCACATAATTACTCACTTCTCTGGATGCTAGTAAGGTCGGCAGGTGCTCTGTGTGCTCAGAAATTACCTCTTTCTCCACCTCCGACCACTAAGTGTTGCTTGCTCTTATTTTAATTCCTGGGTATTTGTAGCTGAAGACAGACTGAGCGAGAGATTACCTCATCTACCGCTGTTTTCTACGCATAGTTCTGGAAGGCTGAGGGCCTGATCGCCTTATCATCTAATGTTTTCTTATATCACCTCTTTACTGAACTGGAAAGCCACTGATTGGCGAAACGTCTTTAAAAAAGACGTACCCAGGTGTGGTGTAAATATCTAATCCCTCAACATTGTTCACGTATTACGATTTTCACAGTTGAGGTTCTCATAATTCTCTGAAGTCCACTTGTTAAATGATACACAACAGTTGGGGATATGGGGAAAAGCGCTGGGATTGCAGAACCCTTGATGTAGAAATGTAACTTTCATTTTGTCAGAGTACAGTTTTGTGATGTGGAGCATAGGAGGGAAGGAGGTCGTCAACAGTGAGTCATAACATATGTAGCCAAGACGGAGAAGGCAGCTGATGGTTGGAGGTGGAATATATGGAGGTATATCCAAGAAATAGAAACCCGTGAAGTATAAGGAGCTATTGCTTAGAACACCTGATGATCTTCCTGGAATGGTAATTAAGAGGTTTTTCTACACTCAGGCCATAACCAGACACAGGCAAAGCGAGGCCAACAAGACTCTGCCATCACATGCAAACTCAAGCACCAGAAAAAGTGACAGTAGGCTAGCACACGAGCGTGATCAAATACAGACGCACAACCCGCATGAATACGTAGATGACCCACCAGTGACAGACCCCAGAGATTGATATGACCTGTAAAAGTATTCCCATCCTCCTATAAAAACAAAGCGCTCTGAATGTTTTCAGAGCATAATCCGCCCAATATAGGCGGATTATGCTCGGACAAAGAAATTCGACCGAAAATATTAAGGACCCTAGCGATAAAGAGTCAACCTAAAGCTGAGTAATTAGCACATTTCTACAGGCCATGTGGAATGTGTAGTTCATCTACAGTATATGTGTGGGAATGAGGGTAAGAACAAATGAATGTCTTTATGAATGGTTCTTGAAGCCAATGAGTAAAGGGCCAGAGAACGTCTTAAGTGGTAGAATACCACACGCACATTTGGAAGAAACAAAAGAACCAAAGGCCTCACCTGGAAGTGGAGGAAGTACAGTTAGTTATTATTGTTATAATTAGTTTGTAGAAGTCATACAGTGGCTGGGAATGGGTTGTAATCAATTTTGATCCAAGGAAGACAAGGAGCAATCTACTTCCTTAATTCAGGAGCCAATCGCTAACATCGAGGCAGTAGGGCAATTAATTGTAGCTCTTTTGTTGACCGTCAGATTTCCTCCAGTTTTGGTGCACAAGACAAAGTGCTTTCACACCGTGTAAAAAATATTTGTCAAAAATATACCTCAAACAACAACTGAGAAAAGACTGAAAAAGGACTGATTTACAGAAAATGCCCTTTGGCAGGACAGTAGTCCTACATGGGACGACGTAAGGTTGTTTGGACACTTGGTGCCGAGAGAACAATGCTAATACTAATTTTCCGCAAAGCCTTTCCTCTAAATAACTTATCTTTATTTCACAAAAAAGTAAAGTTTGTTAGTTCTTGGAATGTTGATAAAAATCTGCCCTTTACTCCCACATAAATCCCAAGGTATTTGGAATATTTCCAAAATTACCTCTGAATTAATTAGAGAAATCATTATTTTAGCATTTCTGTGAACATTGTTCCACTTAATTAAGTAATAAAGGAGTACCTTAGCAATATAAGTAAATAAGTTACTTCCGAGATATTGGCCTGGAGCGCCGGCCGGCCCACCGTCTCGAAAAAAAAAAAAAATCGCGAAAATCGCGTTTGTTTCGGTGTATTTCTTAGTAAACTGATGTTCTAGTGTAGTTATCCTCTTCAAAACAGCGTTTTCTCTTACTCAAAGACCAAAGAATCCGACATGGAGACGACATGGAGAGCAGTAACTCATTTATATCGAAATATTCCTGATTCTCTCTCAATATTTTGGCTTATTTTATTCAGTCTAAATATATAACATATTTGTATGTTATTTATAGTGTTTATTATATCATATTAGATCAATTCTGATAGATAAATAAGCCGTAGAGTTGATATATAAGCTGATATAAGCGTAATATTGAAGAGGTTTCTCCTGGCTCTCTGGATAGGGAATACTGCCGAGTGGTCCCAGATGGTGCCTGATTGGCTGGCACTCTACGGATAAGCTCCGCCTACTTTTATATGATGCCAAATAGTCAGTTATTATATTAAAAAGAATAATGCAAGAAAAAGCGATAAAAAACAAGGAAAAAATTCCAAAAAATATATGGGCTCTGAGCAGGCGCGCTACCCATATCACCGTCACCTTACCTGATATAAATGACTATAATTTCTTGTAGAAACGTCGTAGAACATTCATTCTGATACTATTGTATTGCCAAAGAGTTAAGCTATTTTTCTGTATGTATGACTCAATTGCCATAATTTTTCGATTTTTTGTTGAGCGCGCGCGGAAAATTGCCCTACTGCTTAAAGAACTCTCACATAAGAAACCATACCCCGGCCGGGATTGAACCCGCGGTCCGAGAGTCTCAAAACTCCAGACCGTTTGCAATCGTGTCTCACATAAGGAGAAAACCTTTACTGTAAGGGGAGACAAGGGCAGCTGAGGTCATAGAGCCAGGGAGATAAAGCCGAGCCAGAATGCTGCAAATGTCAGAAAAGGCCACAAAGGCTGAATTCCGCAAGTATTCCCTGTGCAGGATCCTGGTTTAATAGCTTCAAGTTCTTTCCAGCTTACGAAAAACGAAACAAATGTAAATGCTAAGTCCACAAGTACTGAAAAATCATGTCATGCATGATGAGCTATATGATCCCACCTATCGGGGCTTCTGAGAATGAGATGGGATGTGGTGCAACTCAGTGAGGGCCTCAGCGAGAAGAGGAGCCTAGTCCAAGGGAATTGGGGTTTCAAATATAGATCGTTTCCCGTCAAAGACAAGAAATTCCCCGCAAGGAAGCGATTTAGTAAGAGCCGATGAAGGATGAACTATACAGTCAGTATAAGCCCTGTAAACTAAGCAAAATGAAAGGCCATCTCCAGGAGAAGTCTGAAAGAGCAGTATAGTACCGTCGCATATCTTGAAGGCAGCCTTATATGAGGGCTTCCTTGGACCCGGTGAGACAAAACGAAAACTGAGGAAGGATTCAGGGAGAGGTCAGAGTGCAGAAGTGACATCACGGAGTAAAGTTGACACCCAGCTACTGCATTATTATGAGAATCTCATTTGTTGGTGATCATAATAAGAGAACAATACTTGGAGATCCTACATGAATTACTATTATTATTATTATTATCATTACATTCATGGTGAAAAAGTTAACCTGTGACGGTCATAAAGCACCTTGGGATCGCAAAATAATCAGGTTAGATTCAAGAAAGTAGATGGCAGCTGCTATTACTTGGATCAAGAGCTCTTCACAAGCATCAGGGTTCTTCCTCCTAAAGGAATTGGTGAGGTCCTTAGTGAGCACAAACCCCAACGGAAGTCAAGGCCCCACTGACTGCACTTATTGTACTTATGTGTACCTGTACCTAAAAAACTTACTAATTAAACCTTCCTGGGGTCAGAAAGATGTGTTAAATGGACCCCACATGGGTTTAATGTTTCTCTTTTAATATTTTTTTATTAACACGTCGGCCGATTCCCACCAAAGATAAAACTAATTAAATTATTATTACTGTCCTCTTCCTCCTACTACTGCTGCTCCTAATAATAATAATAATAATAATAATAATAATAATAATAATAATAATAATAATAATAATAATAATAATAATAATAATAATATTAATGGGGTCCAAAGAGATGAAGAGGTAGGAATGAGTTGTGATATACTCCAGTAGACCGTCCTGGACCACATCACAGAAAGAGTGAAACCGCTTCTGATGTCAACATAAATCGTAAACAGTTCAGTAAATAAGAACATTGATATATTTTTCCATGCTGTATTTCACTGTTCACACATTTATTAGATACAGAGCTAGTAAAAATATCAAGGGCTTATTTCTCAGATCAGAAGATCTGGGAAAGTGTGTATAGCTAAAAGTCACTGTGTAGATATAAAACATCCAATTTAAATATTTGAAACTTTCACATGGTACAGTATTAGTCATCAAACAATTGGTGTTAAGTTTGATTATTTAGAAAATATAAAACACCAACAATCTGAAATGTTAGAAAAACCTTATTTACACTGTGCAAGTAATCTGAATATTTCCAGAGTACGCATATCTGCACCAAATTATCCCTACAAATAAAGCACAAGGGCAATGTGGTTCCTCCTCAGCAACAGACATTTTGATCATGACAGAGTGCATCTACACTGGTTGAAGGTATTGGCATGCTGCATCAAGGAGACACTTGCAACAGAATTAGCCATTAGAAATCTTAAATTATAGTTTCAATAAGGCAATTTTCTTCCTGTGCATCAAATACAGTTATATATGCCTTATGAAAACTCTAAATAAGCTTGGCAATTGCTAATCTTGTCACTAATGAACAAACATGGAAGCCTTTGTTATCATTCCTGTGTGAAATGAACACTGGTGTATGTACATACCTTTGTTCATGGAAGTACACTACTATATACTTTTCTTCCTCTCAAGTATAGTAGTATATGAAGATGGGAAATTTGTTTTTCATTTACACGAACATATCTCAGTTTAACAGATTAAAATGTAATGTTACATTTGTAAATTACTAAAAAAAAAAAAAACCAGCTTTGAAATTAGACAGAAAAAAAAATGAATATTTTCATTCCATCACTGAGAAACAACCCACCCAGGGCAGGGATCAAAATATTCAGTTTTGATTCTTGTCCCTTTTCAAACTATGAGTTTATTGAGAGGCATCTCAATTTTCAATATGTATATTGAATTAAAACCAAATGTTTATCTATATTTATAAAAAAAACTCTATATACTTTCTGAATAGAAATATGAAATTTCTGGCTTTTTACACAAGCAAAACTTTATCACATATTTAGTTATACTTGTTTCAGTAATGATGCACTCTTGTTATTAGTTATTCGTTATCAAAACTTCAGTAAGCATTAACTGCAGTAAACATTATAGAAACTAGGTATAAAAATTTTAAAAGACTGACCAATAAAATAAAACTAACATTATAATGTATATTCAAATGAGTTTTTTCATGACTATATTTTTTTGAGTTGATGCAGTGATAAACACTGCAAGATCATATGAAAACATCTTGAAGTTACTGTTAACATCTGGCTAACAAAAAAGCTATTAGTAATCACCATTGCTAGTCTGTACATAGTAACTTTGTAGTTCCCTTATCGAGGATGAAAAAATCGTCTAAATTTCAAAAAATAAATTTATCAAGTTCTAACTACGAACTCCTACCAAAAAAAACTTATTGATACTAACCTAAAACTTGTTCCCAAAGAGGTTTCACTACCAAGGGTGCCTTCATGTTAAGAACCTTGGCACATTGCAAGGAGGTTTCACTACCAAGGGTGCCTTCATGTTAAGAACCTTGGCACACTGCAAAGTGTATATGAAAACCAACTAATATCTATAGTTTCCAAGTACTGTATTTATTAAGTGATCATCTATAACCACCTTTAACTTTCTAGCACTAAACTTGCAAGTACATGTATCAAGTAAATTAAACAGTAGCATATATCATTTGGCCATCTAAGATATCTCCCTGTATGGCTCAATAACCAATAAAAATAAGATGGGAGAGACCTGCACACTTTCATATCTTAATGTTCTTCCACATTATGGAGTTTCAACTTTCATCAGCATGATGTAGAAATGTCACAACACCGCCAGTACCTTCAATGATTCTTCAACTAGGAAAAAATTAATCTTGAATCCAGTGGTATATGTATTTCTTGTTCTTTTATCTGTCAAAAATAAAAAAACAATTGTTACAGAGAGAGAGACAGACATATTTTTAATATTTAATTTAAAGATTTTACTTGAATTCTAAATAATTAGTAATTTAACTCGTGGCTGCTCAGTAAATATTTAAGTATTCTTGGAGTTAATGAAATGATCAGAAAATATGATCATAGTTGTAGCTGTCTAGTAATAGTGGAAAGTATAATGAACAGTTCTATGTTATTATTATTATTACTATTACTGCTTTCATGGGGTACCATTGAACCCATAGGGGTTATGCAGCACCTGGGGGGAAAATGGAAGGCAATCAGATTCGATCCATGGAATAAATGGGCAGGTCCAATTCCTTGGATCAAGGGCACCGTCTCACTCTCAAGCATCAAGGACCCTCATTTGCAGAGGGCTGTTTTAACAGGACGATCAAGATATCCATGGCCTACCTAGTGAAACATTGCTTGGATGACCACACAGTAGGTAATGAGGAGCAGGGAAGTGCTGAGCTCACTCACAACTACGTTGTTATACATTGCACCTTTAGGCATGTGACCCATTTTGTGTGTCCAACCGGATCGACCCTTCCCTTGTCGCAAGATCTGCAAGTCATCGTAGTCCCAAGAGTCGAGGTCACCCCTAACCTGAAACAAATGATTGTTATGAGATGTGTTCTCTACGTTCACTGCTGAAATGGATTAATCATACAGTACGAGAACTTGTAGAAAAGACGAAATCTTTTGCACCTGTAGCAGTGGAATTATTTAACAAAGCAAAACTATGTTGGCTCAAATAATAGGAATCATAACGTATTTTTATTTGTTTATTTGTCTATCACTAAAATAATAAACTATAAATAAAAAGGCAATCCTTCCTCAAAATATCTTCAATGTTTTGGTTGAGATGAGAGTAAACCAACAGGAAAACATGAGAAGTGGGAGGACTGGCACTGTAAAATACACAAATGAAAAGTAGGAGTGTTTACCTGGAGTTTACCTGGAGAGAGTTCCGGGGGTAAACGCCCCCGCGGCCCGGTCTGTGACCAGGCCTCCTGGTGGATCAGAGCCTGATCAACCAGGCTGTTGCTGCTGGCTGCACGCAAACCAACGTACGAGCCACAGCCCGGCTGGTCAGGAACCGACTTTAGGTGCTTGTCCAGTGCCAGCTTGAAGACTGCCAGGGGTCTGTTGGTAATCCCCCTTATGTATGCTGGGAGGCAGTTGAACAGTCTCGGGCCCCTGACACTTATTGTATGGTCTCTTAACGTGCTAGTGACACCCCTGCTTTTCATTGGGGGGATGATGCATCGTCTGCTAAGTCTTTTGCTTTCGTAGTGAGTGATTTTCGTGTGCAAGTTCGGTACTAGTCCCTCTAGGATTTTCCAGGTGTATATAATCATGTATCTCTCCCGCCTGCGTTCCAGGGAATACAGGTTTAGGAACCTCAAGCGCTCCCAGTAACTGAGGTGTTTTATCTCCGTTATGCATGCCGTGAAGGTTCTCTGTACATTTTCTAGGTCAGCAATTTCACCTGCCTTGAAAGGTGCTGTTAGTGTGCAGCAATATTCCAGCCTAGATAGAACAAGTGACCTGAAGAGTGTCATCATGGGCTTGGCCTCCCTAGTTTTGAAGGTTCTCATTATCCATCCTGTCATTTTTTCTAGCAGATGCGATTGAACAATGTTATGGTCCTTGAAGGTGAGATCCTCCGACATGATCACTCCCAGGTCTTTGACGTTGGTGTTTCGCTCTATTTTGTGGCCAGAATTTGTTTTGTACTCTGATGAAGATTTAATTTCCTCGTGTTTACCATATCTGAGTAATTGAAATTTCTCATCGTTGAACTTCATATTGTTTTCTGCAGCCCACTGAAAGATTTGGTTGATGTCCGCCTGGAGCCTTGCAGTTTCTGCAATGGAAGACACTGTCATGCAGATTCGGGTGTCATCTGCAAAGGAAGACACGGTGCTGTGGCTGACATCCTTGTCTATGTCGGATATGAGGATGAGGAACAAGATGGGAGCGAGTACTGTGCCTTGCGGAACAGAGCTTTTCACCGTAGCTGCCTCGGACTTTACTCTGTTGACGACTACTCTCTGTGTTCTGTTAGTGAGGAAATTATAGATCCATCGACCGACTTTTCCTGTTATTCCTTTAGCACGCATTTTGTGCGCTATTACGCCATGGTCACACTTGTCGAAGGCTTTTGCAAAGTCTGTATATATTACATCTGCATTCTTTTTTGTCTTCTAGTGCATTTAGGACCTTGTCGTAGTGATCCAATAGTTGAGACAGACAGGAGCGACCTGTTCTAAACCCATGTTGCCTGGGTTGTGTAACTGATGGGTTTCTAGATGGGTGGTGATCTTGCTTCTTAGGACCCTTTCAAAGATTTTTATGATATGGGATGTTAGTGCTATTGGTCTGTAGTTCTTTGCTGTTGCTTTACTGCCCCCTTTGTGGAGTGGGGCTATGTCTGTTGTTTTTAGTAACTGTGGGACGATCTCCGTGTCCATGCTCCCTCTCCATAGGATGGAAAAGGCTCGTGATAGGGGCTTCTTGCAGTTCTTGATGAACACGGAGTTCCATGAGTCTGGCCCTGGGGCAGAGTGCATGGGCATGTCATTTATCGCCTGTTCGAAGTCATTTGGCGTCAGGATAACATCGGATAGGCTTGTGTTAATCAAATTTTGTGGCTCTCTCATAAAAAATGCATTTTGATCTTCGACTCTCAGCCTGGTTAGTGGCTTGCTAAAAACTGAGTCATATTGGGACTTGAGTAGCTCACTCATTTCCGTGCTGTCATCTGTGTAGGACCCATCTTGTTTAAGTAGGGGCCCAATACTGGACGTTGTTCTCGACTTTGATTTGGCATAGGAGAAGGAATACTTTGGGTTTCTTTCGATTTCATTTATGGCTTTTAGTTCTTCCCGCGATTCCTGACTCCTATAAGATTCCTTTAGCTTAAGTTCGATGCTTGCTATTTCTCTGACCAGTGTCTCCCTACGCATTTCAGATATATTGACCTCTTTTAGCCCCTCTGTTATTCTTTTCCGTCGCCTGTAAAGGGAGCGCCTGTCTCTTTCTATTTTACATCTACTCCTCCTTTTTCTTAGAGGAATAAGCCTTGTGCATACATCGAGTGCCACCAAGTTAATCTGTTCTAGGCATAAGTTGGGGTCTGTGTTGCTTAGTATATCTTCCCAGCTTATATCGGTTAGGACTTGGTTTACTTGGTCCCACTTTATGTTTTTGTTATTGAAGTTGAATTTGGTGAATGCTCCCTCGTGACTAGTCTCATTATGTCGGTCTGGGGCTCCACGCATACATGTCTGAACCTCAATTATGTTGTGATCTGAGTATATTGCTTTTGATATGGTGACATTTCTTATCAGATCATCAATCAATGACTAGGTTTTGGTTCTCGACCTTTACTGCTAAAACTTCCACTACATCATTTGAGGCATTAAGCAGTTCTGTGCAAACAAGTGACTCTGCAATGTACAGGCCAATCCCCCCCCCTTTTGCCTGTTCACTCTGTCACATCTGTATAGGTTGTAACCTGGGATCCATATTTCGTTGTCCAAGTGATCCCTTATGTGGGTCTCAGTGAAAGCTGCGAACATTGCCTTTGCCTCTGCAAGCAGTCCACGGATGAAAGGTATTTTGTTGTTTGTTGCTGGCTTTAGACCCTGTATATTTGCAAAGAAGAATGTCATCGGACTGGTGGTATTGTTGGTACTGGGGGGATTTTTTTCCCGGCATTAGTATCTGTATCTGTTGGTTTGGAGTGGAGGCCATCGACTGTGGTTCCACTCCAGGAATGACTGGATTTGGTGTACGATTTCTGCCATTTCCTGCCAGTTTTTTTTCCTTCCTGGCACTAAAAAACCTCTCCCTCTTGAGTGGCTGTGACTACCCAGGTTTTCCCATGGCCTGGATGTTTTGTATCTTTTTGTCCCCTTTAGATGGTGTGCCTGCCAATTTAAGTTATATCACAGTCTTTCCTGTACTGAAGAGGTACACAGTTCAGGGTGAAAAAGCTTACAGGAAGGGAGTTTGCATTTTCCTGTTGTCATATGGGCATGGCATTTTCTAGGGTGGTCATAGTTGCACATCCCGTCTGTTTTTCCAGATTTCCCATGCCTGCAGATACCAAGTGCATAGTATGTGCACAGGCTTGGTTTCCGTTTGCCTTGGGTTTCTGTGACTGTATTTCCTGTTGGTGCATGTTTCCCTGTCTTACTCCTATCCTCTCTAGCACCAACAATGGAGCTCCCACCAGTTGTTTTTGGTAATATATCCTTACTATTGCTAGTGGAGTCCTCTTGTTTGCTATTTCCTGCAGTATTTCTAGTTTGCAATATTGGTTTTATCTTATCTTTGACTACACTTGTTTCCCTACTACGGCTCCTGTCCCCTATGAGGTCATTTATATGTATTCCTTCCTGCGTATAATCCCGACTACCTGGACAAAATCTCCAGCTTCACCATTACTGTCTCCCAGGACAGCACCTCCAGCTTCACCATTACTGTCTCCCAGGACAGCATCTCCAGCTTCACCATTACTGTCTCCCAGGACAGCACCTCCAGCTTCACCATTACTGTCTCCCAGGACAGCACTATCAGCCCCACATTTACTGACTACCAGGACTTCACCTCCAGCCTTACAGTTTCTGACTACATGGCCAGTATCAAGGGCAGAACCATTCAGTCCAGACTTTTTATGTTCTCATCTGTTGTAGAAAGCTTCCAGGTTGTCTATGAAAGCAGCTTTGATGTTGTCCTCTTTTAATACCCTTGTGATTTTAGTCCACAGATTTATCTCATTTGGGCATACACAAAAACACTTCCCTGTTTTAATACTGCTTGTAGCTAGTTCTTGGATATCTGCACAAGGGGCGTGACACCAATTTCCACAAAAATGACAATTTATCCATGTGGAAGCCCGTTTGTTTGATTGACCGCAGACTACACAGAGCTTCATAATGATTTGAATGGTTGATTTACTGTAATTCCACTAGCAACCTCTTGAATATTCTATTAATAACCTCCTTAAATGAAGCTCTAGCTATTTGTATTTCTATTTCTAACTGTACTTGTATATTGGACAGCTTACCGTGCACGTTCCTGATTTATATTTATTTTTTGTGTTTATAAGGACGCCTACAACCCCATCCGTTTACAGTCTGCTTTATTGTCCAACGAATCCGTTTGAAACCAGTCAAGATTTCGGACCAGTCAAGGGTTCGGACCAGTCGATCTGATCTGATCAGTGGGCCACTTATTTAAAACATACTGGTCGGTGATTTGGGCTAACACATGAAGGATCTACTGGAAATTATCTACCCGAGTAATATGTGATTTGATAATAAACTATAATAAACTGTAATTAGAAAGCCAAGATAAAACTCAAAGACTAAAGAGCCCAAGGATTTAAATACCATCCCATTAAATATAAACAGTATTACTAACAAATAATCCTGTCATCAAGAGGGATCTTGAGACATTCCATCAAGCTGGTCTGATCAGCTGGCCTGATCGTATTACCTAAGTTGGATTACTTCCTGCTAGAACCATTAGCGTGACTGAACAGGCCGTTAATTAAGAGGTCTAATATTTGAGGTATAATATTTGGGATGTGATGGTATGATAATCATATGAAAAGAATAATAGGATGTGGAAAAAAAGGGAAATAGGAACATTAGTTAAAAAGATGGACTCATAATCAGAGG